TTCGAGAAATCGCGTGCACAAAATTAGATGGTCAGAAAAATAATAATAATAATAAGAAACAGTAGAATCACTATAAGGTCTTCCGTGAAGACGGAAGACCTTAATGATAATAAGAAACAATAGCATTGCTATAAGGTCTTCCGTGAAGACGAAAGACCTTAAAAATGAAAATATAGGTTTGAGCCAAAAAATGTTCCCATTTATCTCCCAAAGTTTTATTAAGATCCATTGAACCATTACTGAGATATCGTTGAAGGAAAAAAATAAGAAAAAGAAAAAAGAAACTTTACAATAACAGAAGGGTTTTCCGCTGAAGACGGAAGACCTTAATGAAAGTGAATAAGAAACAATAGAATAATAGAAGGGTCTTCCGCTAAAGACAGAAGACCCTAAAAAGTTGAAAAAAAAAAACCAGAATAATAAGAAGGTCTTCCGTTTCAACGGAAGACCTTAATAATAAGACTAGAGCAAAGCTCGTTGCAAAGCAACGAGTAAGTCTTCTGTCCTGTTTGAACGGAAGTAACTTTTAATAAAAAAATTGGTAATGACCTGTCCAATGATTTAAGTCTCCTAAACGTGTGCTGATTATTGCAAAAGTAAGCCTTTTTGGCTACTTCCGGTTCGACCGAAAGTGACTTCGATGGATAAGAACTTAAGTGTTATCCTTGCGGTGAAATACGAGGGTTGTTCGAAAATTATTGAGACATTGTGTATATTTTGTTTTCTAGTGAACGTCTTTCGGTGAAAATTTGCATAAAAGTTTGACATACACCAAAAAATAAATAAGAAAAAGAAATATTTTACAAATATTCAAATTTTTCTCTACAATAGCATATAAATGTGTTAATAGTAGGGGTACCCGGAGCAGTCGCGGAATCGGACATTGAAAATATGTAACACCAAAATTTTAACTCTCCGTGGATCCATAATGAGAGCGAAAATAATTCAGTTTAACATTATAATTATTCAGATTTATTTCAAAGTCATGTTGTGCAACTTTGGTAGAATTTTGGTCAGAAATACGGAGATAATAACAAAAATAAGCGCGGTAGAGAAATCTGCTAACAACGACAAAATGGATTTTGACGTCAAGGGCGGAGCAGCCAGCATACCTAAAATTTTGCACCTAGAAATACAGAACTCTTTTAAAGACTGAACGACCTGCTAAAACAATAACAACAAGGAAGAAAATAATGTGTCAGGGCTTGTTTTTTCACTGGTAAACATTTCTTTACAGTTAATTTATCCATGGTAAAATTAAAAGCTCTGGAATATTACATGAGTTATTACATGCGGTATTGAAATTGTTACGGCATTAAACCTGCTTGCAGAAATTGGCACTGCATGATTCTAAGTCATCCTTTCCGACAAATGAAAATTTTTCACTGGGGTAGTAACAACATACATTTTTAAGGAATAGTTTAAGAAAAGAGACTGCTTGATTTTTGTTATGTTATATGTGTAATAACAAAGAAGGATTAATATTAAACGCTTCCCGATCGGTTCACGTGCAAAACCATCTACGACTCATGTAACGTTAAATGACGTAGCGAGGCTGCTCCGGGTCGATAGACATATGCATATTTATTACTTCACAGAAACTTATACAATTATCGTAGGAATTAGAAATTTTGCTTAAGTGTTTTAGTCGTCCTTTATAAGATGTGGATGAATTTTCATGAAATTATCTCCATCCTTTATGGAATAAATATAATTGTCTAAATAATTTCCGAACATCCCTCGTATATTACCCAAAACGTGTCAAGAACGGCGAAAATATGCATTTTTGACTAATTCCGGTTTTGCCGGAAGTGACGTCATCGGACAAATTTTGACGAACGCAATAGACTGTACTTGATATTTTGAACAACTTCGCTTCTTTAATGTATTACATATTCTAATTAGTTTTTGAGATATAAAGAAAATAATATCGGCCCCTCTAAATCCCTTATTTTAGGTGTCAGTCCCTTTTTGTAAAATTGGATGAAAGATCTTGTAATTTTGCACCAATTTTGTTCTACATGTTATAACAAATTATTTACAGATTAAGGAATATTATAAATGAGGATTTAAAAAAATTAAAATTTGGAAATACCTTTCGATAAATAGCGACCGTACGTAGCAATTTCGGTGAATATGAAATACGTTCAGCACAACTACATTTATTGCTCTAGCATCACTGAAATCTCAAGTTTCTATCTTAAGCCATTTTTGGGAAAACTCGCGGAAAAACTTACCCTCTCAAATTCACTAAAATGCAAAAATCTCGGAACCGTTAGTGAAGTCATCAAAATAAAAAAAAAAATATGTCTAGATTTTTTCATGTCCTATCAGACCTGAAAGTTTCCTGAAAATCGAGCAAGCTGTTTCCGAGAACTCGCGTGCACAATATCGGTAAGAAAAAAACTGTGGAAAAGAAACCTAAGAATAAGAGTAAGGTTTTCCCTTTGAAACGGAAGATAATAATAATAATAATAATAACTAGAAAAGAAACTCGTTGCGAAAGGTCTTCCGTCCGATTCTGAAAAAACCCCCGCAAAATCGAGCTGAAAAAGTGATAAAACTTTTTATGGAAACAAAGGGGATTAAACACGGGTCGCCAGCATGAAAATCCAAGCGCTCACTATTACGCTATTGGGACCACAGCTCTTAATTTACTTGTATATACTTCTGAAACAGTACATCTGTCTTAGAATAATGAAAGGCGGGATAATATTCAAAATTAAGCGCCAAACGCCACGAGTGAATCTTCGGGCCTTTTCTTAAGAATGTGCCATTAAATAGGTGTGATAGCTTCAATGGAAATAAAAAAGAACGTTCTTTTAGCTCAAATTTCAAGGTAAAGACATTGTTTGTAACACATTTACAAATTCTATGACGTAAGTAGATAAGTAACACTAAATCAATGAAACTGCTATAATTTTTACTCTTTAAAATTTACTGTTTATCCCCATACTGAACTATTTTGATTAATTAAACTTTCATGAAAAGGTTGGAATGCTTCGCCTAAAAACATGTGTCGCCCTAAGACGGTAAAGGAATCAGATACCATTTATGTTCAATAACTTAAATTATATCTTTGAGACAAGAATATTAACTATAAATTCATGTCTTCAAAAAAATCTTTTTCTTATGTTTGTCTTTCCTATTAGTTTAATATGACTTAAGTGTGCATGAGCAAAACAGTTGATACGTTTAATACTTACTATATATACATCGATATTGTTTCTTAAAACTATTATTTGTAACTATGATTTAAGATCTGTTTTTTCTGCAAAACAAATGATAGTGGGTATGTATTTCATTTGCACATTTAGTCTTTTCTTTTTCTACTTTGAGAACCAGCCGAAACCAATTATAGAAGACGTTAGAGACGACCATGGATTTAAACTTAGTTTGACACAGAATTGCTACGTAACTATATCGTGACAATCCCCGTATTCCTTTACATTTCATTTATCCTTATTTACTTTCGTTCTAGCAAAGCCTCTGAAAACCCCTACTGCGAAATGTCGGAGTTGGCATAGACAGCCGTCATATTGGGCCCGCTTCAGATTTTTAAATGTTGATATCTAGAGTTTAGATTTATTAATGTCCAAACAAGTTATATAATAAGCATTATAAGAATGGTCTCTATTATTATTCCAAAAATAAATGAAAAATATTGAAAAACAAAAAAGTTAGAAAATACGGACCATTAAAATTCGCTTCCGCTTGCGACCGGAAGTACTGACGACACACGAAAAGGTGATTTCACATATCTAAAAGTCATCATCTTTCATCTCTAACAAGTCTCCAGTTAATACCATTTTAGTAAAAAAGGGGGTGAAAATCCATTTTAAAATCTGAAAACTGTCAATAACTTGGAACCAAAGGTCAGTATTCCAAATTTTCCTTCTGATGAACAAAGTTCATATAATGACGCATGATTCCTGAAAGTTTAATTGAAAACCACCGAATAATTTTCGAGAAATCGCCTGCACAAAATTTTGGAAAAAAAATAATAAGAAACAGTAGAATCACTAGAAGGTCTTCCGCTGAAGACAGAAGACCTTAATAACAACAATAATAATAATATTAATACCATAAGTAATAAATACTGAATAAGTTAAATAAATGAGTCAATAAATACATGTATTCAAATATAATTAAATGAGATGTTCTTTCGATTATTTTTTTTTACAATGAACATATCCTATTTTTTTTTGGATGAAAGACTTCTTTCAATTTTTTTTTCCAATTTCCCTTTATAACTGCATACTGATTATTGATATTTAAAGAAACTATTACTGAATATTTACTAGGCATCATTTGCAAAATTTAATCAGCAGAAGGGATGAATAATACTGCTCTCAATCTCACAAAAACTCCATATTAAAGATTAACAGTCAATTTATTAAAGTATTACCATAGTTTATTGTCATGGCTATAACACATTTTTGGAAAACTCAATTTGGTAAGGGTTTGAATTTGAATTATTGGGTTATCTGTTTGGCATTTCTCGTTTATCTCCCATTTATTTAAAGGGTATAAATAATGATTGTTTTTATATAACACTTTTCTAGCATAATGCTACTGAAAGCGCTTTACGATACATTATTACCCTAGGAGGCCATAACAATCCAGAATCTTTCTCACTGCAAGCTGCCGTTAGGGCGCTAGAACACTAATATTCTGTCAATATATTTCACTGTCTATAGCCAAGTACCCTTTTTACGCTTGGATGGAGTGAGGAAATTCGTGTAAAGTGCTTTTCCCAGGGACACAACGCCGACTTGCCGTGGCCAGGATTCGAGCCCACAACCTTCCGATTTCGAGTCCGGTACCTTAACCACTAGACTACCGATGCCACATGATGTAATGACATTCCCTTATTCGGAAATTCTTGTAAGTTTTGTTGATATTGATATTTCAGTTCAGGTTAGCTCAACCAGAGTTCAGTTTCTAGACTTTTTAAATTCTATTCAAGGTCTAATAAAGACAACAAAAATGCTACATACCAGTGAAGTTGTTTAAAATGTCGAAAAAAATAATCCAAATGACAGTCCTTTGTTGACTCATGTCTTAAATTCTCTTTCTTTCAAGGAAAGATGAAAATAAATAAAATATTTTATAACCATTTATCTACTTTTAGTTGAATCTTTCAGAATATCAAAAATGGAAAAATAAGTAGTTCTAAAATTATTTATTCACTCACCAATTTCTTGTCATGATATCTTTGGTTTGGTTTTTCTATTCTCCAAGACAGCTCAACAAAAGAAAAAAAATATATACTTAATCTAAATAACAATCAATATAGTGTTGCATAAACATTCGTCAACTATTGAAACTAGAATTGACAATTATATATTTCCATGCCTAATTTTTTTTTCTCTGTGATAACCCCTTGAAAGTTACCGGAGTTGATTTCTTGACAATTCTACCGGAATGTAAATTAGGCAGGTCGATAGATCAGGAGCTAAGAAGGCCTTAAACGCATGAAAATCTCGTGCGCATCTGTCTTTGTGCTTGACGCTAAGGAGGCAAAATATGCATGTAAATCTCGTGCGGCTTCATTGTGTCAGGAGTCAGTTGGCGAGTACTATTGAATTCCGCATGAAGGCCTTTGGTAATTTAAATCTACCACTACATTTTTAATTCTAAATCTCTAATTTTATTTCACAATGAAATGGAAATATAATGAGTCACTGTCTAGTTAGGAGAGTATGCCAGGGACATCAACAATAGTGGGAAACACGGGATAATTTTAGCATAACGGGCTATTAAACAATAAAATGCTCTCTTTGGATGCTATTATGGGGAAATAAGCTGATCTAGCCGAACATTGCAAAATGCCAAAATAAGCGGGTTATTTTACTTTTCCAGCAATAAATACAACCATGATTCCCATATATTTTTACAGACTCAGGCTGATATTTTACTGTTTATTTTTATGTCAAATTCTGTACAAATTATCATCTCTAGTAGTATTAAATACATTAAATATTGAATTATTGATATTTACTTCACTGACGTTTCATTGAGGGAAGAACCTCTTGCCCAAGAAATACGTACCACCCTATAGGTTTACAACTGTCGGATATAATGTTTAGTGGTATTTACTGAATGATAAACGACAATGGTTTTCAAAAGAAATAAAGGAGAACATATTCAATGGATGTAATTATGATTTAATATTTCCTCCTTTGAATTAGAGATGAAAGCAGTTCTTACAAAAAATCCCTCATGGGTAATGACAAAGGGATATCTTCAATATGCCTTTTACACAAAAGACGTAACGCGCATTGTAATAAATTAATGTAAAAATACAGAATAAAGCAAAACTTCACAACCAGCTTCAAGCATCTTTTTAAGTATTTGTGATATTAGCCGCGTGTGTTAAAAAATAATTATTTAAAAACGAAGCACATTCTGTCCATTTTTGAGATAAGTGTTATATACAACGGCTAATATACTTTTTATACATTTTCAATTTAATTGAGCTGTGAAATCTTGATAAATACATTATAGAATATATTTCCTTTTGGTCACACCACATTTGTTTCATTGTATATATGCATATTTACAAAATATGATAATAGCTTGATCCACGTTTAAAGTGCATAGGAACTGCGTGTCAAACTCTTAAATGACGTAATTTCAATTAGTTCTGCCAGATTTAGCTGGCTTTCATTAGCTACATTCGAAAAATATTAATAGATAAGTTTTACATGAGTAGACGAAACAAGATTTATGAATCAACCAATATTCAATTTCAAAGTCCATAAAACAATACAAAAATAGGAGCAGTGCAAACACGGACTTTTTCAAGTAAAATATCCAAGTATGAAACAGATGTGTCAGACTCTATGGTATCTTTAATCTCAAGCTCACCAGGATATTTCCTATTGACGTAGGGAATGGAAATAATCATTGTTATTTGACAATACCTCGTCGATATATCTAAATGTCGAGTCTTCTTTTCATGCATAAGAATTTGCAAAAATTCTACTTCACATGAATATAAAAATTGGTCTGTTAATAATGGAGCGCAATGTGTAACCATGGTAATTCCAATAGATTTTTAGAATACCTGGTCTCCAAAAACCATATAGATATTGTCAACGAGAAACTCAAGAAATTATTAACGTCTTTTAAAAGTAAAATATCCAAGCATGAAACAGATGTGTGGGACTCTGTGATATCTTTTATCTCAAGCTCACCAGGATATATTGTATCGAAATAGAAATGGAAATTGCTATAATTGTTAATTGACAATACGTTGTCGATATATCTAAATGTTGAGTTGAAAGCCACAGCTAGTGTTTTGCAAAAAAATTGCTTCATTTGAAAAAAAAAGTCGTAAGTTTTTAAGCTGTTAATTTGGTAAAAATCTTGTGATTTCAAATTGTTCAAAAGTTCTTAGGAATTTTTGAGTATCCACATCTGATTCACAATACTTCTTAAATATATTATTGCACTGTACTCTTGAAGGTTTTTCTTCACTATAATACTGTCAATATCTAAGTGAGGAGTTAAGAAAGAGGCTTGGTTGAACATTTACTGGAATCCGCAATGTATCTTTGTTTGTAAGAATTCTTGTGAGGTTTCGGAATCCAATATAAATAGGGTAGTTCAAATTCATTCTTGTGCTTCTGGATATTAAAAATATTCAAAACTGACATATAATTTGGAAGAATTTTCCTTAGAAAGGGAACTATGAGTATAGATTGGATTACCACTTGTAGAATTAAGTTCTTCTAAAATACAATTAATATAATGAGCCTTACAAACGGAGACAATGTTGTTACCTGCTTTGTCAGCAGGCAAAGTACGTACTGATCATGTAAGCTATCGAATTTTTTCTCACCAATTATTATTGACAGATAGAATGATCAAGTAAACTTAAATGTTTGTATGAAAGCTTCGGACCCATATGTTTTATTTGAATTCGATGACCTCTTTTATTAAGAGATCCTTTGGTTTCAAACAAGTCAACTTGGGTACATGACGCAATAGAGCAAACTTCTCAGCATCATTGCCTTAGCGTTGCCCGATAATCATTTGTTGTGCATTACCTTACTCGAACTTTAAAAAAAATCACTAAATTTAAAGAACCATCTTTTTCATCAGAAATATCATTCTATTGCATGGAGAACATTTGCTGTTCAGATATTTGGTATAGAAGCTCTGTCCTGTAAGATCACTGGTGAAAGAAGTATTAGTTATCAAAATGTCCCAGGTTTTACAATTATTTTTTTTTCTAGCAAGTAAAATATTGTTATTTTTATTCCGTATCATTTCAATTTCAAATGAGGACGAGACCAGCGTTGATCTCCTATGTGTCAATGGCCCTGAGTGCCGAGTAAAGGTTTAAATTTGAAGCCTTTTATCAGTATATGGTGACGTCGCTGTATGAGAGAAAAATTATTAAATGGTACGTAAAACAACATACAATCAATTAATTAATCATTTTGAAAAAATGTATGCTGTTAATTTTTATAAGCATAAGGCAAAAGATATTCTATAATTTCAAAATGAACAAAACTTGCTTTTAAATGGGTGTTGAACGAACGTTTATAGAAAGATTAGGCAGAGAAACGCAAAAAGCTCTTCTTAAATTCAAAGGTTGACAGAAAAAATACATTCCCCGCTGCGGGGAAATGCAGATTAATTTACGATTTATTACCAGGTTACGCGTCCCTTTGTTGTATTAAACAGGTTTTTAGTATATGCTGATATAAATTAATTATTTTTTCAAATTAGTGTATATTTGTATTTTTTTTCATGCAACATCTACAATATACATGTATAAATTCAATTTTTATACGACTAAACTTCTAACTGCCTTGAAAATTTTAAATACTATCACATAAAACCATTTTATTTTCCTGAAAGTCTTAAATTACACAAAAGATGGTATTAAAAATAACATTTTGTTTCCGTGTGATTGTTGCAAACAGGAATAAATAACATCACATGATGGATAGCTTAGAATAGAATACCTAGAATAGCTTAGAATTAAAATGGGCTGGGTGGATCTATGTCAATGTGTTATTCAATCGTTGTTGGCTGACCAATTATTGATATAAAAAATATATGTGTATAAACATGCATATCCAAAATCGAAATAATATCCAAGTAATCGGATAACAACATTAAAAAATTATATTAAAAGAAACCATGAAAATTAATAAATAACTGTTACTTCTGTCTATGAGCAGCATGCGGTGACGTTCTATATAAAGATTCTTAAACAGGACGATTGATCAATGAAATGTATATATTTATTTACATTTGGCACAAACGTAATAAGGGATAAGTACAATGTAAAAAAAAAAATTATCATGCCTCTACTGAATTGTCCCTATGAAAAATTAAGTGATTAGATCTGAACGATTCCCTAGTAATTGCTGTGAATTGGCTATTCGTCATGCGTTAGTTTTTTTCTTTAGCTAATCCCTCGGTTGAAAGCTGGACATGTTAATTCGCGGTTATGGCTTTTCATTGTGACGTCATAATAGAGCAAAGAAAAACACAAAGCTTCGTGACGTTTTTCAGATAACAAAACGCAACAAAATAAGCCGTTAACAACAATGATTGCACTAATTAGGGGATAACTGTCTTCTAAAATGGTATTTGCGTCGAATAATGATTAGTTTATCTGTAAATGAATATAGTTTTTAGGTTTTCTCTACAATTTAAAATTTGTATTGGTATAATAAAACAGTTAAAGTAAATCAATAAGGGAGTTAGCAGGATTCCAGGAAAATAGTCCTGGTCTTGGGGAAATGGAATCTTGCTAACTCCTTCAATGATATACTTTAACAGTATATTACCATCACATCAAAATAACTTCACATCTATATATCCGTATCATTGGAATATAATTATTTCAAGAAGTGTTTATATAATAAAAAGATATATTCAAGCAATATCAATATTTCAAAAATAAAAGAAAAATTAAAAATATTTACCTTACATCGTAATGCCTTTTGCGTGGAACAAGGATATATTCACATCATGTTAATATATAAAGGTACACATACACTGATCTGAAGCAATGATTTAAATATAGAATGTACACAAAAAGTTTTTTTAAGTAAAATAGTTTTGACAAAACGCAATAAAGAAATGAAATGAATTTAAATAGACATTTATTTCAACTAATAAAGTTTGGCACAATGTAGAAAAATTCTAATTTTACCCAATGATAGAAAACATGAAGAAACAATGGACGAAATTATTTATTTTGCCGAAACAATGTTGATATTCTTTTTCTTTTAATAAGAATTTGACATCGCCAAAAGAAAAAAATTACATCAAGTAATGATAAGTTGGAATAACAAATGACTTATTTAATTTTATCGAGAAGGGAAAAAAGTAAAATAAACCTATACCAAATAATGC